AATCAACAAATGAATCTACTGGGTTTCTGTTGACAATTCAGTTCTAACTTATATTTTTCTTGCTCTCTTGGTGCTAACAAATCATCAAGAGTGTTTATGAAGTCCAACATAATATAATCATGCTTACTTCTTTGATCCTAAGCTCAACCGTTAGGAAATAACAAAGACCTTTATGATAGTGGATTTAAATATATCCATATGCTATACCATATTTTGTACATATAAAAGGTATAAATGCATAGACAGGTTTGTCTGTACATTTACAACTGCATGTTTATAGGTAATAACTACCTATTTATCAACAATTACTTTAAAAGTAAATTGATTAAATGCTTTAATTTAAAGACATAAGGTGGCTACATGGATAAAGAAAACAAAACTCTTCCCTATACTGCCTACAGGAGACTCACATCAGATTGAAAGACACACACAGACTGAAATTAAAGGAATGAAAAAAGATAACATTAAAATGGAAATGAAAAAAATGCTGGGATAGCAATACTTACACCAGACGAAATAGACTTTAAAACAAAGACTATAACAAGAGACAAAGAAGGACCTATAACTCCACTTCTGAGCATTTATCCAAAGAAATCCAAAACACTAATTTGGAAAGATGAGAGTTCATGGCAGCATTATTTACAATAGCCAAGATACGGAGGCAACCTGGGTGTCTATCAGTAGATGAATTAATAAAAAAGAAGTGGTACATATATACAATGGAATATTACTCAGCTGTGAAAAAGACTGAAATCTTACTATCTGCAACAACTTGCGTGGACTCAGGCGGTATTATGCTAAATGAAATAAGTTAAAGACAAATGCCATATTATTTCACCTCTATGTGAAATCTACACAACAAAATAAATGAACAAACAAAACAGAAACAAACTCAGAGATATAGAGAATATTGTGATGGTTGCCAGGTGAGAGGAGGGTTGGAGGTATGGGTGCAAAAGAGGAAGGTACAGACTGGTGGTTACAAAATAATCATGAGTATGTAAAGTACAGCATAGAGAATATGGTCAATAACGTTGTAATAACTATGTGTGGTGTCAGATGTGTACTATATTTATCAGGGTGATCACTTTGTAAGTTATATAAATGCCTAATCACTATGTTGTACATCTGAAACTAATATAATATGTTTATATATATGTCAACTCTAATTAAAAATTAAAAAGTTATTTAAAAAATAAAAAGTAAACCATTATAGTGTTTAGCATGGTGGTAAAATAGATGCTCTATAAAGTACAAAGATGATTATATTCCATTCACTATTATCTAAAATTTATGCCTTTTTTAAACCTAACTCATGGTTATGCAAAATTTAAATTAGCAGTTTAATTTTTAATAATAAATTTCATTTTCATGGAAGTTGATGCCTTTACAATTTCTGGATTAAAAAGCACAGTATGATCAAAACCCAAGAAGAATTTCTCAAATTTCATTATTAAGCCTCAAACCTGACCTAAAATAAATACTTAAAAAATAGAGAGGCTACACACCATAACCAAGTGGAATTTATGCTAGGAATGCACTTTTCACACATGAAAAGCAATAAATGTAATATACCATAATAATTTAACTAAGGGGGGAAACACATACTCATTTCAACAGGTACAGAAAAAGCATTTGACAAAAGTCAACGCGCTTTCCTGGTAAAAACACTCAACAAACTAGGAACAGAAGAGAACTTTTCAACTTGAAAAGAGCATCTATGAAAAACCCACACCCAGTATCACACTTAATGGTGAAAGACTGAAAGCTTTCTTCTCAAGATCAGGAACAAGACAAGATATCTGCTCTCACTGCTTCTATTCAACGCTGCACAGGAGGTTTTAGCCACGGCAATTAAGCAAGAGAAAGAAATAAGAGGCATCCAGATTGGAAAGGAAGAAATAAAACTATTTGTAGATGCTATCATCTTATATGTAGAAATCCTAAGGAATCTACCAAAATCAAACAATTATAGCTAATAAAAGAGTTCATAAAAGTAGTAGGATACAGGATGAATATACAAAAATCAGTTATTAGTTGTATTTCAATACATTAGCAATAAATAATCTGAAAATGAAGGTAAGAAAATAATTCCATCGAAGAGAATAAAATACTTAAAAATTAATTTAACAAAAATGTAAGACTTGTACACTTAAAACTATAAAACATTTATGAAAGAAATGAAAGACTCGAATATTTTTTTAAAGCCACCTTGTGTTCATGGATTGGGAGAATTGATATTGTTAAAATAGCAATATTCCCAAAACTGACCTACAGATCAATGCAATTTCAATCAAAATTTTAGCTGCCTTATTTACAGGTCCTGACAAGCTGATGCTAAACTTGATATGGAAATGCAAGGGACCCAGAATAGCCAAGACAATACTGAAAAACCACAAAGCTAGAGGACTCACACTCCTTTGTTTCAAAACTTACTGCAAAGCTACAGTAATTAAAATAGTATGGCACTAGCATAAGGATAAACATGTAGATGAATAGAACAGATTGAGAATACAGAAATAAACCCATACATTTATGGTCGATTGATTTTTATTTTATAAGTTGCCAATATAATTCAATGGGGAAAGAATAGTCTTTTCAACAAATAGTGGTGAGACAACTGGATATCCACATACAAAAGAATGAGGTTGGACCTCTAACTCAGACCAGATACAAAAATTAACTCAAAATGGATCCAAGATCTAAATGGAGGAGATAAAACTATAAAACATAGGTATAAATCTTCGTAACCTTAGATTAGGCAATGATTTCTTACATATGACCCTTAAAGCAGAAGCAACAAAGGAAATATAGATAAATTAGATTTCATCAAAATTTAATCAGGAAAATAAAAAGACAACCTAAAAAATGGGAGAAGATATTTGCAAATCACCTAATAGGGGTCTTGTATCCAGAATATATGAAGAACTCTTAAAAGTCAACGATAAAAAAAGAAAAACAGTTAAAACTGGACGAAAGATTTGAACAGACATTTCTCCGAAGATATATAAATGGCCAATAAGGACAGGAAAAGATGCTCAACATTAGTATTTAGGAAAATGTAAACCAAAACCACAATGAGATACTGCTTTACATCTAGTAAGTAGGATGGCTATATCAAAAAGATCGACAATAACAAATGTTGACAAGGATATGGAGAAATAGCAACTGTCTTACATTGCTGGTGGGAATGTAAAATGGTGCAGCTGATAAAGAAAACAGTTTCGGGGTTCCTCAAAAAGCTAAACATTGAATTATCATGTGATCCAAAAATTCCACTCTTAAGTATACCCAAAAGAATTGAAAGCAGGGACTCAAACTGATAATTGCAGTATTCACAATAGCCAAAAGGTGGAAACAACCTAAAAATCCATCAACAAATGAATAAGCAAAATGTAGTATGTACATACAATGGAATATTATTGTTACAAAAGGAATGAAATTCTGCTGCATCCCACAACATAGATGAAACTTGAGACATTATAAGTGAAATAAGCCAGACAAAGAAGGACAAATATTGTATGAGTACACGCGTATGAGTGTACCCAGAATAGGCAAATTATTTATAAAGACAGAAAGTAGATTAGAGGTTAGCAGAGGAATTATGCTTAATGTTTACTGTTTCTTTTCGGGGTGATGAAAATTTTTGGAAATAGACAGTGATGATGATTGTATAACATTGTGAATGTAATTAATGTCACTGAACTGTACAACTTAAAATGAGAAATTTTATGTTATGTATTTTATTGCAAACTTTAAAAATTAGTATCAAAACCACAGACTTGTACACTTTAAATGGGTGAATTATATGGTACTGTATATGAATTTTATCTCAAAAAAGCTGTGTTTTTTTAAAGTGAAGGAAAAACAAAGAAATGAGGCCTCAAGCTATAAAAAGACATGGAAGAATCTTAATTGCATATTGCTAAGTGAAAGAAACCAGTCTGAAGAAGCTACATACTGTATGATTCCAACTATATGACATTCTAGAAAAGGCAAAACTATGGAGAAGTAAAAGGATCAGTGGTTGCCAGGGGTTGGTGGGGGGATGGGGGGGGAGGATGGATAGGTGGAGCATGGACCATTTTCAAGGCAGTGAAACTATTCTGTACGATACTGAAATGGTAGATACAGGACATGCATTTTTTGAAACCCGCAGAACTAGAACAGAGTGAACCTTAATGTAAACTAAGAACTTTATTAATAACATATAAATGTTGGTTTGTCAATTGTAACAAATATACCACATTAATGCAAGATGTTAATAGGAGAAACCATGCGTGGGTGGGGAAGGGTATGTGAGAACTCTACGTCATGCATAATCTTTCTGTAAATTTAAAGCTGCTCTAAAAAAGTCTATTTTTAAAAAAGTATACTTAACACAGAAATTGCACTGAATTTTATCCTCTTCTCATGATTCATAAGACTATTCAGTTTTAATACAAATGATTTTATATTAGGTGGGGAGGAAGTGCTGAGTCTTCCGCCACTGTACAGAATATCAGGCACGAATGAATCATCTCAGTTTAGTATTCTGTTAACCCCTTCCCTATTTCGCCTTCTCCTCCAACCCCAACGAAATTATTTTATGACCTAAATTTTTATATTCATAAAACTACTTCCATCTAGCTAGTCTTTAAAGATTCCACAGTCTTTGGAAACACTTCCTTACATTTATGATAAATTCCAGTCTAATTATAATTATGAATTACAGTGACATTACACCAAATTTACCATGACTCTTGTTTTATTCACTCTGCTCATTTTCTGTGAGGTATTATCATGAACCTAAGCGTGTTAGTTTTACTCTTTTGAAAAAAAAAAAATTTTTGTTCTCTAAGGCACTCAAGAATCAACACAAAGGATTAAACGAGAAACCATAACTGTCCCAGAGGAAAGGTACTAATAGGTTTGAGACAACTTTTTCCCAGATTTAAAATGATCCCCTCCCAAACTCCTAATCTTTATTGGCACACCGTATAAACTTATTTAACCGTTACCTTGGTCTTTTCCAGCTTCATCTACGTGTTGAAAATCTTTTAGTGTTTGAAGGTTACAGAACCCCTCTCTACAATGCTGAATAACTTTCTTTGATCCATTCTTGATGAGATAATCCATTAGTGTAAGGGATTTATACACATGGCGCCAGTTCTTCCCATGGTCGTGTAGTCTCTGCCATAACATATTCATAATCTCTGAGAGAGAAATCGTGTTGAAAGTCAGGTCACTGATATCTAACATCAGAGAGCTAGAGGGACCCCAAGGGTCATTAGAAGTTGCTTCCCTGACTTTTATTTCAGCATCTGAGTAATTTTTTACAAAGTTTTTCACTTGCCTCCTGAATGCCATAGGTAAGACAAGTTTGAAGGTGAGATGGGAGATGAGAGCAATGGAATAGGAGTTTATGTGATTAGTTTATAAAACCCTTGAGGTTTCTGCGGCTCCCAAATACAAATGATCAATCTCCATCTTGACAAGATATCAATTTCCTGCAAAGGAAAGCACATACAAAAAAATGTTAATTATTTTTTAATGTCTATAGGAGACCAAGTCAGTCTGAAAAATCTAGCTTTAGATTTCTAAATCAGCTGCTCACATCAGCCAGAACTGAGGGTACCATATAAATGCTCCTAGGATCAGCATGGGGAAATCTCTCATAAGGGATTGGCCTACTTTATTTCAAGACAGAGAGTGGTTTTCTAGTCCTAAAGGTTTCTGCAGAAAATATCATTCAACCTCTTGGCCAGAAATAAAATTATTATAAAGCATTATATGGACAGTGGACAACTTAGTATAAGAAAATGGTACTTGGGCTCTGACATCTCATGCTTAAGACTTGTTGTCATGTATTACAATATTAAGTCCTGACAGTAATGAAGTTGTGAAAATTGAGTCTTAGAGTCACCAAGTGACCCTATGGTCAAATTCATTTTAGAACTACAAGTCATTAGAATGAAATCTAAACATCTGCTTTCTTGTTAATCCGCAAGGGGAAGGGCCATCAACTATTAAGGCAAGTAGTTCCACCTCAGTGGACTCCACACCTGACTCACAATACCCTAAAGCAATATTTTAGTCCTGGTAAGGCTAGTAAGTTCAAGGAAAAGGTTAAATTACTTTCTTTACTCGGCTTTAGAAAAAGGAGTATGAGTTTAGAACTACACAATGTCAATAGTATGATTCAAATAGTAAGGATTTTCCTAAAACCTGAAGTAATAAGCATGTATTTCTCAGATCTCAAGACATGTACACATGAAGAAAGGCTCATTTAGGTTGATACAAAAATATATTCCAACTTAAAAGGGGTGTACAGCCCAAAAACTTTAAATGATGCTTGTGACTAATCAAGTCACAAGTTTATATGAAACTGTTCCCTTTTCTCATTTTCATTATTTTGCATTAAGGCTAGTCAGTTAGCTTGCAGTTTCCCTAGTGATTCATCACTGATGCCCAACAAGACAGTGTACCATGTTGATTTCAAGCCCTGATGAGCAGCAGGCAGACCCAATGAAGCCTAAACAATCTATAATCAGATTTTACTAGAAAAACTGTATACATATAACAGAAAACGGTTAAAATCCTTAACAAATGTATTTTTTTTAGTTTTAGTTTTGTTTTTCTTCCTTGACCTTCACAGCTCCCAGCTCAGGCTTGATTAATTCCTGTGTGTGTATTCAAGGAAGACAAATTTTCAGAAGCATCCTAAATGAACTATCACTTCTTTTTTAAAAAAATACAAGAAAAGGATATATATATTTTTTTTTTGGTAAAAGTACAACACATACTCAAATAAGCAAGATAGAAAATATATCTGTTCAATTAACATTTTTCAGAAAGGGACTATCATCAACCCTAGGAAGAAAAATACGTGCGTTTTTAAATCTCTGATTTTCTCTTGTTTGCACTTCAAATATAGGCATTTTTTATCTGACTCACTACTGCAGCAAAAACTTGACTTATAGTGTGTTCCAATAAGCTATTAAAATTTTCAATTATGAGGGTTTTCTTTTTCTGTTGTCCTTTTTTCCCCTCTACCAAGCTCACTCAATGCAGAGATGCACTGTGACACTGGCTTCGAGCAACAAATATTGATTTGTTTCCTCACAAGTCTATTAAAAAAACACCCTGTTAGAATTATAACCTGCTGTAATTGAACAGTTGTTAAAATCCATTTTTTTTCTTTTTTGGATAGCTACCTCTCTATATTTTGGAGGAACCAAATCCTAATTTTAAGTTTTCCTATTTTCTCTAACCTGCATTTTTAAATTAAAACAAAAAGTTTTCTTAAATGAATTTTCTGCCCCAGAAAATAATGTCTTCAATCCAATGAAGTAGTTTAAAATGGATGTGCCTGACATCATGCAACAATTAAATATATTTCCAAACATTACAAAAACTAAAAAGAAAAAAAATCTAGATAAGTGAATTAGTATTATTTACTAATATATGGTACTCTGTGATATGAATATAGACTATGTAAGACACCATTCTACTATTGATATCTTTTCACATTAAGAGTTCAAATAATTGTAGTTCTAAGTTATATGTTGGCTTATTATGTGTTTTAGACACCTAACTACATGCAAATGCTCAGCTTACTCATACCATTAAAAACTTGAAATTGTTATTATGGTGATGTGACAGAGAAGACAGAATTAGTGCCCAAAAGGGTAAATTTTCACACCTGAATTTTGTCTGGCTACCGAAATCCCTATAATATTTAGAAACGGAGAGAAGTAAGATATTCTATGTCACAAATCTACGTCGCCTCCTCTGAGAGGCCTTGGTTACCCTTGCTAACTACTTAGGTCTTCCCATCATACTCTTTTCAGCACCCGGTTTATTTCCTTCATGGCACTTATCATGATCTGTATGTAATTATCTTTGCTCTTTCACTTTCTCTACCACCTTGAGAGGAGGGACCATGACTATCTTATTTACCACTGTAATCCTATTGACTAACATGTGCCTAGCACACAGTAGGTACTCAAGAAACAAATGTCGAGTGAATGGCCAAATGGTTGAATGATTTTGCTTTGAGATAAACCTGCATTTATTCTACAGCTTTGGATTATAAACATGACATTTTAAAAATATAATCCAGCTCTTGTAATTGTCAAGTAAAATTCTAGAGTATTGAGCAAATATTTTCAAATCGGTCAATCACTATTTCTTGAATACCTACCATTATACAGCTTTGGGGAAGATATAAGAAATATAAAACATGATCCGTACATATAAAACGCATCGTTAAGGAGCTTTCTCCCTTCAATAATTCCACAATTAACAAATGATTTAAAAAAGATCCATTTTCTTTTTAGGTTTATCCACTTTCACAATGCTTTGCCAAAGGCTGCTTCCTTCCCCAACTTTACCTGAATCATAACAGGAAATCACTTAAGCTATCAAGTCACGTTAAACTACTGGTCCATAATCTCTTACCCAAATTCTTGAGGCCAGATGAGTTGTGGAATTCAACCTCAATTCTTAAAAACTTTTTATTTTATCTTTTACTTTTGAAGGGTAATGCCATGCCTATACCACACACTACATGATACCCACAGTATGGTGTGGGGCCACTTGAATAATCAAACAAATTAACGCGACTATAAGAAAAACCTGTAAGTATTTGGAATAAATTAAGACAAAAGACTGGTTTCAGTTCAGGTCTTGCTGCCAAATAAATTGGCGGGGTGGAGGCGGGGGGATTAATTTTCAAAACTTTCTGGGTGTCAGAACTGAGAATAGAGTTTGAGGAGCTGAACTGACTTTATCCAAAGACATAAGAATAAAAGTAACATCTAAGAGGCTGAGTGCCAAGAGGTATCTCAGGGAAGATGAATTTAGGGTAATGCTATAATGAGGAGAAAACAGCTCTTGTGTTTCTACAGGTTCTGCCTACAGGCATCAGTTCAACTCAGGAGGAAAAAGATCTGACCAAGATTGTTTGGGGGAGAATAATTAGAGAATGTCATGGGATTAGGAGGTGTAACTGTTTTGATGGAAAGAACACTGCAAGAGGCAGAGAAACCAACATTTTTGAGCCCCTCCTGTGTGTTCATTAATTCATTCAGCTATTAATTTTCCAGAGTTTATCATGACAGGCTTCATTCTACAAAATGGAGAAAAAGGTGCACAAGACACAGTCCCCACCCTCTGGAGTAAATGGCTACTCTTAGCTGAATGCTCACAATGTGCCGGCATCTAGACATTCTCATATCTCATCTCATTACTTTAATTAGGATTCCAAAAGCATGGATTTGAGGTCCTGCTCTGTCATTTCCTAATTAAGGCTTACAACTTCTCTGGGCCTCGGTTCCCGATCTGCAGCATAAGGACTAATCACCAGATAGGGAGGCTTGTTGAAAGGAAGAAATGAGATGCGTGGGAAAGAATTTTGAACATGAAGAGTCGAGCCTGAGAGAGAATCAGTTTCTGCGAGGGCCCTCTGAGAGCACGTGATTTCCTTGGAGGGGGTGGCTAGGCCAGAAAAGCTTCTAGAAAGTGGGAGTGACGTGATGGCGTCACACAGCTGGGATCTTCCTTCACGCAGGCTGTGTGCGGGCCTGCTCCACCTCTCGCCTCGGGCACTTGAACAGCCAATGGCAACGACATGGGACTGGGAAGGGGGACAGCCTCCCTCCAGGTCCCCCTCTATCCCACCCTGTCGCCTGAAAGAGAGTCTACTACCTGAGGGAAGGTCCGGCTACCGCGTCTAGGCCTTCTCCCACTCAAATTCAAGGGCCCTGGTCCTCAAGCCGATCCTCCTCCAACCAGATCCAAGTGCCCGCGCCCGTCCCCACTTCCGCTTCCTCACTTCCGGCCCCTCACTTCCGGCCTCTCCTCAGTCTAATGTCTCCTGCTCCCAGGGCCTCGAGCAAGAGTGGTAGTGGGGTTGAAATAGCTCAGCTTGAAAGTAGATGTCTTCATTTAACAGTCTGTTCCTCTGTGGTGCTGCCCTAATTCACCTTTCGAAGAATAAATTTTACAATTTGTGTTAGTATAGTTTTAACTGATGAGAAATGCCATCCGCTGCTGATTTCCACCTCAAAGGACAACAAAAAAAAAATATTATAATAGTCTCTAGGGATGAAAAGAGCAGTGTATTTGATGGACAGTGATGGAGTGCCTCTACTGACAGCCTTGGGTACCACTGATAAGTAGTCACTGAAACATTCAACAGATCTTCAGTGAACACCCACTATGCACCAGGCACCCCACCATGCAGGAAGGACCCAGACATAAAATGAATGCAATGCTGGATGAGTTTACAGGCTAGTGGAGATGACAGGTACCACCACAGACGATTGTGACAAGATATGTATCGCATAACAAGGGAGGAGTCAGCACCTAATTCTGCCAAGGGTTTCACAGAAGAGTTTACATCTGAATTGAATCTTAAAAGAGTGACAGGGAGTTCATTGAATAGACAATGTAAAGGAGGCCATTAGAGGCGAAGGACACATCAGGTGTAAAGGCTTGAAAGCAGAGAGAGCCTATTATCTTGGTAAAACTGCCAGTACTGTAGTTTCTATGGCTGTTGCAAAGGCTATTAGTAGAGCAGCAGAAGGAGATGAAGTGGCAGAGGAAAGTCGGATTATGAAGGACCTTGTCCATACTACTAGGTGATTTTATCCAGTAGGCATTGAAACTATAATGAAAATCTTGTTTTAAAGCATGTTGGTGCTTGAGTGGACTATGTCAACATTCCACTAGAGTGAAGGGAAAAGACTTAGAGAATAGATAAATGCTTAGTAGATGAAAGTAACATTTGTTTTTAGTTCCTACTACTTCAATTATAATTATTTTTACAACAGCCCACGTTACTGATACTGACATGTAGATAGATAAGTATAAAATAAGATGCTAGAAGATGTGAAAGAAGTTGGTGTGTTTGAAATATTGCGTAGCTGGCTATAATATAAAATAGCGGGAGTAGTAGCCAGAGCAAAATTGAAAAGACAGCCTGGAAACAGATTGCTCAGGCCCTTGAATACCATGCTAAGCTGTTATTCTATAAAGTAGTGGGGGACAAACAAGTATTTTATATGTAGAGTTATAGTTTATGAAGATTATTTTCTATACATAGCATATATAAATTTCAAAGGAACTCTGAAAATTAGGCATTAATTATCCCATTGTACATATGAGGCAGTGAGTTTGGGGAACATCCATTCATTCTACATTATTGAGCACCTGCTATGTGCCAGGCACTATGCTGAGCCATGGGAATACAAGGAAATTACAGTCTAATAGTCTAATAGAGGAGAGAGGAATAAATCAGCAGTTATAATAAGATGCCATGATAAAGGCAAGTATAGAGTGACACAGGAGTAAAATGGGGATTTGTCTAAATCTATAGAGTTAGGGAAGGCTTCCTGAAGGAGGTGAACTTGAGCTGAGTTGGCATGAACAAACAGGTTACATGAATTGCCCAGAAACATTTAACTTGCAAGTGATTTAGCTAGAACTTGAACCCAATCTGCTGCATATAATTCTATACCCTTTCTCCTACCCCAAAGACTAATAGCCTTTGGTCCTTGCTGCTGAGCTCCATCGGCATTCTCAGTCACAAGTCTATCTGTTGTATTTTGAGAAGGTCAGAGATCCCAGTTTTTTCTTTTTAAACCCATTAATTTTCTCCTTTTAGAATAAATCTCTGGGTGAGTTCAAAAGGGAGTTGATTAGGTTTCTCTAAAGTGGAAAGGGGAGAAAGGTGAGGGAGATAAGGGTAAAGGCAGTCAAATATATGGTGATGGAAGGAGATTTGACTTTGGATGGTGAACACACAAGGCAATATCCAGATGATGTATTATTGAATCGTACACTTGAAACTTATATAATTTTATTAACCACTGTCACTCCAATAAATTTAATTTTTTAAAAAGTATCAAGTGTTACCTACCTAGTGGAATTAACTCTGTTAAAATAACATTGTGTAAAAGGACCTTCTTATCTGCATTCCTCCATTTGGGGGCACCATAATTTAGTTGCAATGCTGTAGTATACAGACATTGCTTTACAGTAATAACTGTGTGTTTCCCCCTGCCCTGAACTCAGAGTTTTACAAAAGTGAACAAAGTTTTCTTCTCTTGGTTTCTAGGGCATCAATGCTCCTTCTCATCTTGTCTGGTTTCTTCTCATTTCTCTGACCTCCAGCTTTGGAGGGGTCTGTTCTCTCTGTATTCATTCTTTAGGTGGTTTTATCCAATCTCATAGCTTTAAAACATCCTTCTCTGTCAACAGCTCTCAAGGTGTTATTATCAGCCCTAACCTCTCCTAACCTCCCCACCGATATTTCTCATAAACTTCTCAAATGTAATATGTCCAAAACCAAACTCCAGATCTTCCAAACCTGCTCCCCTGTCTCAGTAAATGACACCTTCTTGCTTCTAGTTTCTCAGGCCATGACGTTTGAGTCATCATTGATTCCTCTCTTTGTCTCTCACATTGCACATCATATCCATCAGCTCACCTTTAATACAGGTGGCTACCAAGCCTGGGTAATATGTAGGTAGTAAACAGTTTATCAGTGCCATGTTCTAATACAAAATAAAATAATAATATCTATGTTTCCAGACTTTATAGTCACTCTGTATGTTCAGAATTCAATCACTTCCCACCATCTTCGCTTCCAACCACCTGTCCTAAGTCACCATCCTCTCTTGCCTAGGCTGTTGTAGTAGCCTCTCTGCTTCTGCTCTTGCTCTCTTACAATCTAATCTCAACACAACCACCAGAGCAACCTTTTAAAACTTAAAACCCAAGTCAGATCATATAACTCCCGAGTTCGAAATCTTCCATTGGCTCTCATCTCACTCAGAGTAAAATTCAGAGGTCTTGCCATGGCCAGCAAGGCCCTACGTGTCCTGGCCCCTGCTCCCTCTCCAACCTCCATCCCGACTCTTCTCCACCTCACTGACTGTGTCAGGCTTGCTCCCACCTTAACATTTTTCACCTGCTGGTCCCTATACCTGCAAAAGTTGTTACCCCAAAGAGTTATCAAGCTGGCTTCCTCGCTTGGTTTTGAACTTTGCTCAAACGTCCTTTGATCTTCCAGTAAAATTGCAACCCCCCCTCCCCCACCTCAGCCACACTCCCTATGTCTCTGGCCCCATTTTATGTTTCTCTGTGGTAGTAGAACCATATGACGTATGTGTTATTTCTCCCTATGCCAGAAGGTATGACCCGGGAGGGCAGGGACTACGTTTTGTTCACTGATAAACAGTCCCAGCACTTAGGAAAGGCTTCACACAGTGTAAGTGTTCAAATGTTATTTACCGAATGAATGAAAAGAGAATGTCTGGATCTATACTATTGAATGTGAAGGACACTTTTTATCATAAAATTCGATTAAACATAATTATGCACAAGAAGTTCTAATATTAACAACGATCCCCTCAAAAGGAATTGCCGAAAATTTTTAAACAAGTATGGTTTTAAAAGAAAATTTCCCCATTGTGGATCAGTTCAGATTTCACATATTCCTGAATCCTCCCAATTTTGCAGATATTTTTCTGAGCATCCATGAAGGTGAAGGCTGAAATGCTGGCATTCTCACATTATGGTCCTTATTCTTAAGTTCTGCTTTTGCACTTGTTCACTTAGAGACTTGGCATGAAATAAACCACTGAAATGGCCTTGCTTCCCTCCCAATAGGCTCTGTAACACATCTGCCGATGATTACTTAACTACTGAAATAACTTCTCTTTGAGATTTTCCTGTTCTGCACTCTGCCCACCACTTGAAAAGGGAGGAGTTAGATTCTACTCCCTGGGGGGCAGGCAGTACCCTATGGAAAAGTAGCTTCCTTATTAGGGTATGAGCTGAAAACACCATAATACTTCCTCTAGAGCACTATTCAACGTTTTTCCTCTTTCTTCCCATGCCCCAGCTGTGAAGTTTAGGGACTCAGTGTTTAGTCAGTTCAAAACCACTGACTTAGGATAAGGACTGTGTGTTTGAAAACTGGCAATGAAGCTGTTGGGTGTAATGATGATCCAGGTCCTTAAACCATGAAGACTAAAGAACACTGAGACCAACCTTGTCTTGTCATTATTTTGAAATCGGTAACATTTTGTTATCTTGAAAATCCTATCTTTATAATATGTGGAAATAATGGGGATCCTGTTCAGACGCAACTTGAATTTAAGAAAATTCAACAAACTAGCATTAGTAACAAGGCAGTCCTTCGTTAAGAGTTAGGAGTAGCAAATTACTTCCTTCAACTCAGTCGACAGATATTTTCTGAGCACCTACTATGACCAAGGCGCTCTGTTGATTCTACATCAAATTTTTCTTTCTATTTCAATAAGAATATTGAGTAACTGTAAACAAGGAAAAATTTTTTTAAAAAAGATTTAAGTATATAGGGGAAAAGAGATAGAAAAAGATACCTTTTAGCAATATAGAATAAGTTTAAATTTTAGAAACCCAAATTGAACCTTATAAGATACCTTTCATCTCAGATTTCAAGAGATTAATGCTAGGAACATCCTGTGAACCAACATTTCCCTCTTTATCTTCGGTCTGGTCCCCAAACTCTAAATGGGGCCACTTAGCAGGTAGCAACGTGTCTAATTTTGTGCAAAAGATGCAACGTTGCAATCCATTTTCTAACAAGAGCAAAGAGAGAGGAAGAGGCCTTCACAAGTTGCACTTGGTATAGGAACTTAAAGGGGAGGGTGAGTTATAAATTTGAAGGTCAGAACTAAGAAAGGTGAAGGTGACAGAAACTTTAGGCCAGTTGAAAATCTTAAAATCCCAGAAATACTTTAGTCCAACCAACTCAAGAGAAAGTGAATCCCAGAAATCAAAGGAAACTGGCTCAGTCTTCCTTCTCTTCCTCCTCCTCTTCCTCCTTCTTTTTATTAAGGGTAATGTATGAGCTAAGAGTAATATTATAGGCTGAGTGCACTCAGAAAGCATTTTCTCTTGGATTTTAATATTGCGAGTGATCCAGGATGGTATTAAGTAAGTGCTCCTAAGAATTCCTAATATTTCTCTGGTTGCATGGATATAAAAAGAGTAAATGAGAGTTTTCCTTAAGACCAGCAGCAGCATGCCAATGGATCATCTCTAGGATTAGAAATTTTCTTATGAGAACATAATCGTTCGGGGGGGGAATTGTTAAAACTGAAACCAAGCATAAAGAAGCAAAAGTGTTTCAGTGAACCTCCTGCATCTTAGTTCAACTCTGGTAGCAAGAAAACAAAACCACATAATCTAAGGCTCACGCCCAACTCTCTAAAGCCCCATATCTGCTAGTTCCTGTGTGGTTTGCCTAGACTGCAGGGCTGACTAGGGGGTAGTTTGGAGGAGGGAGTAAGAAGTAGGGAGGAGGAGGCACTCTTAGTGGATCTGTGAGCGTGTACCCTCTTGGAAGACAGTACAGGGTGGATCTGTACTCTGAAATGCAGTAATTTGGATGTGAATTCAATTTCCTTCTTGCAAGAGAGGATTCTAACAACTCAGTGTCAAAGCCAAGACGTAGACTCAGCCTCTTCTCTTCTAAAAGGTATGTCATCATGCAACATCGGTCTACATACTCTAGAGATCTTTAAGTCTTATAAAGTGCAGAATGCTCTCTATGAGTCAAATATAATTAAAATTAATCCCATGGGCTCTCCAAATATTGCTTTTAATATTTTGGTCCATCAACTAAAGTTTCTAAATCTTCTGCTGTAGCAATGTTTGTGGTGATAGGATTTGACTTCTAGCAAATGAATCCAGTCCATTACACAAAAAACTCCATTCACTGGCTTCTGATCTATCTCAAGGAGAAACTTTAGCCCCTGGGATTATAGAAGTGAAATTCCACTTCATCACAGTCAGCGTTTAATTCATGCTAGGAGCGGGGATGAAGGGCTGAGCAGCAATGAATGAATACTCGTGCTCTGAGGTCAGAGTTTCTCTTGATGCTCATTTCTGCTTCTGTTGGTATTTATGTTACCTTTACAAAGAACACCAGTTGGATTCCTTCACCAAAAAGGAAAACTTTACGTTGAAATGGATTGTGAGAGGGTATTGTCTCTCTTTGTCTCTCTATTCAAGTTAACGCCATAGCCCTAAGACTGTCTTCAGTTCAGGCATCGAGTCTTAAGACAACTCCCTCATGCTCTGTGCCCCACTGGTTCCTGAACGCGAGGGCTGAATACACCCACCAAGGATTTTGACTTTAAAAGACTGTATTCACATACCTGGAATTAGGCCTTGTTAATAACGTATATGCAACTTGATTTGCACAATACTGAAAATATACATCCCCAGATAAATTAAGAGGAAGGAAAATGTTTACGATCTAGAACTCGAGTGGAAAAGATCGCATGTGCTTGAGTTATGCCATCTGAGAATGGGAGACCTCAGGCTGTCGTTCCATACAACTCCGTTTATCGTAGACTGCTTAGTTCTCTGGTGGGTCCCTTTTTATTTTTTTCCCCTAATTTTGGTTTCAGAAAGAACATATAGAATACGTATATTCTGCTTTAGCAACCAGCATTGTTTATAAAACTTCACACTTACAAAATAATTTTAAAGTGATTCTCTTTACAAAAGGATCCGTTACTGAATAAAGAACACCATGTAAATAGAGAAACATCTAAGTGCATCTAAATTCCAAGTTTTAAAATTCTGATCTGTACTCTTTTTGAGAACTTTTTTGGTTTTGTAGAGAGACAGCTCTATATCGTTTAATAAAATTACCTTTTGAGAGGGAACTAGGCATGTCTCCCATGTAGTAAACTGGAATCTTATTCTTCTTAAATTGTAATAGATTTTATTTTTTTAAATGACTTTACTGAAGCAGAGGAAAAAGAGGTGATCGATTTGTTCAATACAAAGAAATATCTCTATTGTTAATATAATATCCTTTTGAATATCTTCTACATCTTAGGCCCTGATGAAAATCCCCTCTTTTTAAAAATATCCCTTTTAGGTATATTTAAGAATAAATGAATTAACATAAATATGAAATGCCTTAGGAAAAAGGCACTATAAAAATGCAAAATGATATCATTAGTAATTATTTCTTTGAATTTTGATCATTTTATCCCTACCTCTTATTCAAAGTATATCTCACTGCCTGGAGTCATCTTTTTTAGAACCATGGCCTTCTGGAAAAGCTGAAAATGACCCTACTTTCCACATATTTGGTGACTTGGAGGGTTCGTTCCTAAACTTGAGCAGAACTTGGCTCTTTTCCTGGATCAGGAAAAGTCTGCAGTTATTCAAAACTGTGTCATTAAGTGTGATTCCATCAGGATTTCTTAAACAAGTAACGGTTGCTGCTGAATTAACCCTAGGGACAAATTCTCTGTGCCCTCATAAAACAAACTCAGAACTTGGTCAAGAATCTTTGTGACCTAAATTATTTAAATCAAAGAATAGGGTCCATTGGCCCCCATTTTGTCCACCTCAAGTATTTGGCCAGCATATTGATCCATAAAACAAACAAACAAACAAACAAACAAACAAAAAACATAGCTTCATGTTCCTTCCTTCCTTCCTTCCTTCCTTCCTTCCTTCCTTCCTTCCTTCCTTCCTTCTTTCCTTCTTTTCTTCCTTTCTTTTGGCCACTTTACAATTCTCAGGAAAGTATAGTATATAAATAAACATTTACTAACATTTATCAAACATTTACTATGTGTTGGGCCTTGTGCTAGTCACTGAGTTCTCTTCGACAACGTTAATACTAGCTTTCAATAAGTTAAAGCCAATGTGAATTCAGTTTTCTTTTTAAATACGCTTTCATAGGCAACATATTTAAGAATTAAAAGGAACTAAGTACATGAAATAAAGGTCTTACCTATTCTCCAAAGAAGATGTAAGCATATACCTTATAAAGAAAGTGAAGAAAATGTTCAAAATAGAGTTGAAATGTTAGTTCAATGAATATCTTTATACTCACCTCCTAATTCAACGGTTGCGAACTTTTTGCTATATTCATTCCATTTGTATGTGTTTATTTCTGAACTACTGGTAAGTTATAGATAAAATGGCACTTCACCCTTAAATAATTCAGTACATATCTAAGGATAAGGATATTCTCCTACATAAACCACGATACCATCATTATACCTAAGAAGATAAAGAGTGATTTTTTAAAATATCATCTAATATCTAGGCCATATCTAACTTTTGCCATTTGTCCCCCAAACATCTTCCATACCTTAAAAAAAAAGGAAAGCAAGAAACTGGATCTAATTTTTAAAAAGAAAAGCACAATTTCACATGTGGGTTTTATGTCTTTTTATTCTACATCAAATTTTTTTAAGGGTTAGGCCAGTTATTTTATAGAATGTTTCTTGTCCTGGATTTGTTGTTGCTTTATGGTATCATTTAATTTGTTCTTTTACCTCCTGTATTTCCTGTAAACTCCAAGTCAGAACTAAAGCACTGATTAGCTTTAGATCGAGCATTTTTTGACAAGGTGCTCCATCTTGCAGCTCATTGGGAGGCACGTAATGCCAGATTGTCCCTCTCTTTGTGATGTTCAGTTTGATGGTGGCTCAAGGTAGAGATCTCACTCCAAGGATCTCTCTGTTACAAAGGAACTTTTTTCTCCTTTGCAATTAACAAGTAATCTGAGTAGGTGACACTTTGGCGCTGTGGTAATAGTCTATTTCCCAGCAAACTTCACCAGAGGCGTTAGGTGATAATCTTTGCCTAAACCGACTATTCCATTGGAGGTCATATACATTTTAGCACACTTTAAAGAAGGGTTGGTTAAACATACAAATTCATCATTATCAGAAGCAACAGCAGATATTTGTTGGGTGTATAAGTCCAAGTAATAATAACAACAGCAGCAATAACAAATAACATTTACTGAGTGGTTGCTATGGAACTAGATAGATAGTCTAGATTTGAGGCCAATCCTCCAGTTACAAACTGGGCCACCTGGGACAAGTTACTTAGTCTTTCTGTGCCTTAGTTTCTTAAGGTATAAAATGAGAATAATAATGGCACCTATCTTACCGTATTGTTTTGAAGATTAAATAATTTATATATATAAAGCTCCTAAAACAGTGTCTGTCATTTGCCAAGCACTGTTCGACACTTTGCAGGCATTAACTCACTTGCTTCTCCTAACGGCACAATAAAGTAAGCGCTAATATTATCCTTCTTTCTCGAGCGAGGAAACTGAGGTTCAGAGAAGTGGAGGAACTTGCTCAAGTTCGCTTCACTAGTATGTGGGAGAGCCGGGATCTGATCCAAAGCAGTCTGATTCCAGAACATTCTCTCTGAAGGTTGACACATGTAATGAGAAGTGACGCAAATGAAATTCAATGGAAATCAGTGACAGGACCCTCCCCCACCCCTACCACCCTCACCCCTACCACCACCGCCACCCAGGTTTTAAGTTATCGAAAATCTGAGACTGTCGCTACCAAAATATATTTTTGGTTTTGTTCATCTGAATAATAGTACTGTGTAAGCATATACTTATTGCATTTACATAGCTCAAGGCTCTGGATAAGAAACTTGAAACATACAAGATAATACTAGGAACTGAAAAATGTAGAACTATGAAGAAATAGGAAGGAAAAAACTTAAAGGAATAATACAAGAGGGGAATTAGGAGACCTCAGAGCCTTGGAGAACAAGATGATATTTTGATATAGTCAAGGGGGGAAAATCCTTTGAGTTTTCACATTCCCGTGCTATATAAGATTTTACTACTGAAACACGAGGGTAAGGCCATTGTCAGCTTTATGAAGACCACTCTGGATTTCGTCACAGGACAATGGATGAGTCTTGTTAGAAGGTAACTTTTCTGGTTGGTCATCTCATACACTCAAGACCCTCTGTAAGTCGGTCTATAGCTTTTGAAGCATAACTATACAGAAAAGGCCTTCCAAGCTGGGTATTAGTCCCAACTCCTTCATTAGCATTGCAAGAGGGTTCCAGTGCTGTCTTGCTTGCTCCTTCAATTGCCATTACAGAAAGCTCTCAAGTGTAATTTTTCTAAAGAGAAGTAAAAATAAATGAGAAAAAAAAATTCAACATTAATAATGTTTTTATGCACTGCTAACACAGTCACTGCTAAATTGGTTCTGCTTTTTCTTTTTTTTTTTTTTTTTTTTTGGATGAAAAGCAGACTAATTGATCAATTGGTCATGAGGAATACTTTTCATTTGTTTTTCTCCGCACCTCTCAGCCTTCCAGAACCACAGGTTTCACGTGGCAGCCTACAAATGGTTCACGGTTTGTGCCTTTTGTCTCATGCTTTATGGGAAAATACTAGAAACAAACTGCTGAGAACTCAGAAGGAACTCGGTAAATAACAAGTAGATAGTTCTCTTATTCAATATGATTTTAAAGAAAAGTGGTTTTTTTAATAACTAAGAAATAGTACTAGGGAAGTACAGAAGTAGGGAAAAAATCGGGTTGGTTTGTAATTTGAAATTTGCATTGATCGTTTTATAGGCCATAGATTTTTATCACGTGTGAAGCAAAATGTGAGGTTAGATTCTCTCCCCTTTCCCCAAATAGATTTAAATTCTAAAAATATGGATT